TGAGAAGCATGGTCCAAGGCTGTGCTGTTATGGGTTGATCCACCACCCGTTCGATCAAACTCTGCACCGCAGTCCAAATCTGCTGAATTTTAGGACACGTCCACCAGCAGTGGAGGTATGTGCCCCTTTCTCCACATAGCTTCCAGCACTCATCCGAGGCCTTCCTGCCCATTTGGTGTAGCCTGTGTGGTGTCAAGTACCAACGAAACAGCGTCTTAGAAGCTTGCTCTTTATGCGTTACGCATGTCGTTAGGGAATTTGTGGCGTCCCAAATCTTGGACTAATCGGCCGTGTCCTCTGGGGGGCCAATGTCTCTCTCCCACGCTGTGATATATGTAAGGTTCACTTGGGAAGCATGCGTGGTGAGCGTTGTGTATATGTCTGAGATCTGACCGCGGCGGAGCGGTGCATCAAAGCACTGCTTTTCAAACGTTGTAGGTGGCGAAGTCCCCGCCTGCCTGACCATTGGCTGTTGTGCGAAGTCTCGCAGTTGGATGTAGTGGAAGAAGTCTGCATCCGGTATTTCAGAGAATTTGACTATGTCCCCCTGTCGATAGAGGTGTAAAAGTCTAGAGACGTCTCTCTGGTCAAATGCAGCAAAGTGTTTAGCCACCATCCCTGGTGGGAACAATTTATTCCGATATATCGGTGTCACCGGTGAGAGGAAGAAAGGTCGTACTTCGCATGGTGTTTATCCCAAAGGGCCAAAGCGTGCGTGATTGCTGGAGAGGTAGGCGGTGGAAGGGGTCTGTATTTCTGTGGTACCCACATATAGGATGATGGGAGGTCCCATCCCATAACATCGTGTTCCAGATCCACCCATCGTTTGGTACCTGGTGGCAAGTGCCATTGTTGGATGTGGGCTAGCTGTGCTGCGAGGTAGTATTGCAACAGGTTAGGGAGCCCAAGGCCTCCCGAGAGCCTGGGGACATACATCGTGGATCTGCGGATTCTGGTTCTCCGAGACCTCCAGATGAATCTGTCAATGGCCGTCTGAAAGTGCCTGAGATCTTGTCTCTGTAGTGGGATTGGTAAAGTTTGGTAGAGGTAGAGGAACCTCGGTAGGAGGTTAATTTTTATTGTAGCTACTCTGCCCAGCCACGATATGCCCATCTTATCCCATCTTTGCAGATCTTGATGCGCCGTCTTTAGTAAGGGCTTGTAGATGATGTCGTAAAAGGCTCCCAGATGTGTGGTTAATTTGACGCCCAAGTATGTAAGGGAGGTGGTGGTGACGCGGAATGGGAATATATGAGTCAAAGGAGCAATTTGGGCTTGAGTCATCGCTATCGGCATCGCGATGGATTTTGACAGGTTGATTTTATATCCCGAGAGAGTGGAATATTCTGCGATTAAGGCGACCGTTGCCTGGAGGGATTGCATGGGATCCGTCAATGTGAGAAGCACGTCGTCCGCGTATGCCGCTGCCGTGTACATCTCCCTGCGTATTTGGACTCCGCGGATACCCGGGTGCTGTCAGATGGCCTGTAGGAGCGGTTCCAATGAGATCGCAAACAGGAGAGGGAAAGGGGACATCCCTGTCTGGTCCAGTTCGCGATGTTGAACGTCTGTGCTGCGGTGTTCGGCAGCAGGAGTCGCCCTGTGGGGTGGTCGTACAGTGCCGTGAGCACGTTTAGAAACCCGTCCAGGAATCCCTGATGTCTTAGCACACTGAACAGGTAGGGCCAGAGAAGGCGATCAAATGCCTTCTCTGCATCCAATGAGAGCGCCACCGCAGGGATGTTCCGATGTTGGGCGTACCAGATAGTATTGTAGGCCCTCCTCGTGTTGTCGGCCGCTTGTCTCTTGGGAATGAAGCCAACCTGGTCAGGATGAATCAAGTTTGGCAGGAAGGCGTTGAGGCAATTGGCTAGCACTTTCGTAATGATTTTCAGATCAGTATTGAGCAGTGAGATGGGGTGATAGTGTCCCGGTTCCAGAAGTTCCCTGCCTGGTTTGGGCAGGAGGCACACGTCGGCAGCCAGCATGTCCGGGGGGAGCGGTTGTCCCTGCAGGAGCGAATTAAACGTGTTACATAAATGTGGAGTGAGTGTTTCTTGGAATGTTTTGTAGTATAGAGTTGTGAAACCGTCCGGTCCCGGACTCTTTAAAGGTTTGAGAGTCTTGAGGATAAATGCCACCTCCCTCGCATCGACAGGAGCCTCTAGTACCTCTTTGGCCCTCAGTGAAAGGGCTGGCATGCCAAGGGATTCCAGAAACCTCGTGGTGGCGTCCAGCCATTCCGTCTGATTCGATTGAGGAAGCGGGTCATGGTTATAGAGGTTGGTGTAGTAGTGCAATAATTCCGCCGCTATTTGTTCCGGATCATGGGTATCTTCTCCAGTGCTCGAAATCCTTTTGGCTTCTTGGCGTTTCCTTAGACAATGTGCCAGAAGGGAGTCAGCTTTGTTGCCTTTCTCATAGAACCTCTGTTTCGTCCACATGAGGTGCTTGGCCACGTCGGTATTTGACAGTTGCGCTATCCGCTCCCGTATGGCCCTAATTTGGGGTAGGAGGTGGTCTGATTGGGTCTGCTTGTGGCGCAATTCTAGCACCGCCAGCGCTGTCGCTTTTGTACCGAGGCTATTGCTATGAGTTTCCCGCGGCCTTATGAGCTGCCCACACCGTCGCCGGGGCCATCTCTGCCGAGGTATTGAGTTCAAAGTATGTTTTGATTTCCTCATTCACGATGTGGATGGTGGCCTTGTCTCTGAGGATCCACGGATTGAGGCGCGACAGGCGCGGGATGCGGATGGTTAGAGATATCTCGGCATGGTCAGACCATACGATGTTACCAATGGTCGTCTGTTCTTTCCAGGGGTAATTGGTCTGCATCGTTAGAAAGCTATCAATCCTGGAGTAGGACCCGTGTGTGTGCGCGAGTAAAAGGTATAGTTCCTGGCCGACGGGTGGTGCGCCCTCCAGACATCTACGATAGCTGTGCTCTTGAGGAATGCTGCATAGAGTTTGTTGTTTCTTGTCGTCGTCGGTGTTCTGTCTTGTGGTGCCTTGCGGTCCGCGGCTGGGAATTGTGTCGCGTTGAAGTCGCCTCCAATGATGACATGTTTGGTGGTCAGGCTGGCGACATGTGCCCGTAAGGATTCCCAGAACCCGATATCCGGGGCGTTGGGAGTGTATGTTGAGCAGATGGCCAGTGTGGTGGTCCCCACCCGGCCCACGAGGAAGAGAAATCGTCCCCCAGGGTCTTTTATGGTTTGTATATCCACCAGGGGGCATGAATTTCGTAGGAGATGGCAACACCTTTCGACTTTGGTGTAGGGGAGTTGGCTAAGAAAAAGCGTTTGAAATGTCTATTGACTAATGGGAAGTATTTTTTGTGTGTGAAGTGGGTTTCCTGGAGAAGAATGATGTCTGAGCCGGTTCGGTTGGCCCATCTCAGCATCCCATGTCTTTTGCCTGACGTTTTCAAGCCTTTGACATTAAGGGAAGTCAGGCGTAACTGGAGATTCAGTCGTGATTTCAAGTGTAGGGGATCGGGATTGCGTGTCGTGCCTCTGCCCGCTGGGGGGAAGTGAGTCGGCGGTGTCCGCTATCGGCGGTCGCACCTCTGCCCTGTGTGGGTATGGTGACCACCTGAAGGATGGGGGCCCTCCCAGGACAACCTGGCCGGCGCGGACGCGACCGCTCTCGGCGGCGGTTCCCTTGGGAAGTGTGGGGGAAAACTGGACTTATCAGTCTGGCCAGTTACTAGTCGGGCGGGGAACACCTTCCCCTGTCCGGGTGCCCGAGTAGCAGTCCCGCAGGAGAAGAGTGAGTCACTGAGGGTGTTTGCAAGTCGTGGCACAGCCTGCCCGAGGCCGCCCGACGGCAAACTATGCAGGCTGAGCCTCATGAGGGGTTGAGGGATGGGGAGAAGGAGCAGGTCCCCACGTCAGGGGGCCCGAATTCTGGGGCTACCCCCCCGTGGGGCCTCGTCCTCCAGAGGGTCCGGCAAGAAGCCTCTGGTTGTGTTCTTTCAGGTTTAACCCTTTGGCTGTTAATAACTAGGTGAAGCGCTAACGTACCACAGAGCTAAAACTAAACTATTCTACAGTTGTGCGGTTTTTCTAACAGGACTGCACCTCACCCCTGCTAACATTAGCCTTGGTCTGGGAAGTGCAAGTGGTAAGGGTGGGTGTGGCGTTGTCACTACCTCCGTCGTTCACGAAACCTCCTGTGTGTGTTTTAGTGGGCTGCGGTCTCCCACTAGTCGCCCCGTGGCATCCCGTCGCCTTCCCCCCTCCCCTCCCAGCCTATCCCCCCTCCCGCAAGTCCAAACGTCCATGGTCCATTGCCTCCCGTCCCCCGTCCCCCTCTCCTCCCCCCCTTCCCGTGCCAGGCCCTGATGGCCTTGTAATACTGTCCCCGGGTGTTCCTCTGCGTCCTTCTTATAACGTGGCCCTGCGGGGCCTTTCAGCTGGCAGCTCCCGCCATCCCGGTACCTGTGAGGGGCCGCAGCCTCAGGATGCCCCAGGTCCAGACCGGAGGGAGCGCACCATGCCGGTAGGGAGGCCCAAGGTGCTTCCATCGATGGTGGCAGCCCGGATGCTCTCTTTTGATGTGCAGTGTTGCCGGCCAGGGAGTATTGCCCGATCGGAGGTTGGGGGAGGCGTGCTTGCCGGTCAGCCATCCAGGCTGTGCGGTGCTGTAGTCCCGTTGCGGCATCTTCGGTCTTGGTGCGTCCGAACGTCGTGAAGGTCGTGAACGGAGGGTGCGGTCGTCGGTGCTTTACATGGGTGTAACCTGTGACCGCCGGTGCCCTGCGCGCTGGTGTCGGCAGTCGCGGTCACCATTGGAGCTGCTGCTGGCGGCATTCTGTAGAGTGGAAGGGCCCTGCTGGTTGCGAGATGATTCTGGTAGCGGAGGGAGACCCAGTTGGTCAAGGAGGCCTGCAGTTTCCTCCGGTCTGGTTAAGGTGAGGAATTTGTTGTCACTCCGGATGAAGAGCTTAAATGGGTGGCCCCAGGCATACCGGAGGCCGTGCTGTGTAAGATGTTGAGTCAGTGGCCGGAGATCCCGGCGTCTCTTGAGGGTAGCTGGCGCCAGGTCTTGATAGAATTGGATCTGCGCTCTTTCCACCTCCAGGGGGTCTCCCTGGCCGCTTTCATTAGGCGATCCTTAATGTGGTAAAAATGCATCTGCACAATGACATCCCTGAGGGTAGTGGTTGCCGCAGATGGAGCCCTCAATGCTCTGTGTGCTCTATCCATGAGGAGCTCAGCTGCTGTGGCCTCTGGCAGGAGCTGTGTAAAAACATTTTGCAGAGTGTCTGGGAGTAACTCCACGGTAACTGCCTCCGGGATTCCCCGCACTCTAATGTTGTTTTGGCAGGTTCTATTACGGAGATCCTCATTTGCATCTTCTAGGGCGCGCAGCTGGTCACGGAGGTCTTTCAGTGCCCCCTCGTGTGTGTGCACGCTGTCTTGCACCTCCGCCATATTGTCCTCTACTTCTTGCGCGCGGGCTGTGAGGTCCGCCATATTCTCCATAATGGGGCTGAGGCGTTTGTCCAGCTCCTCTGCCACCGAGCTGCGAAATCCTCTCATGTCCCTGCGAGTGAGAGGGGCCTCTGCTCTATCCGTTAGGGCTTGGGAGCTCATTTCGGATTCTGTGTCCGACGGGGATAACTCCGGCGCTGGCGGTTGGGCCTTGTCGTGCATGCGCCTGAAAATTGGGGGCGACTGCAGATTGTCGTTTTTTTTTTTCCCCACCCATGTAGGGGGTGTGTGCGGGTGAGTGAGAGAGGGGTTTGAGGGGCTCAGTAGCTCGTGATTGCTTTGGATTCGGGCTAGGCCTCGGCAGAACTCAGGATTCAAGCTGCCATACTCGCGCGTGGTCAGGCTCCGCCTCCCTAGCAGTTATTCTTCTCAGTGCATAAAGATAGATATTCAAACTATAAAATACTTTACTTGCAAGCTGTTGGTTTTATTAGCAGCTATGCAAGTAAACATATACAATAGATATGGGGTTACAGCTGATATCTGAATGTTTGGCCTCAAAAGGGGCCTACCCCCAGCTCACTAGTACAAGCACTGACCAAGAAGAATTTCCAAACTTCTTTATGCAAAACCACATTAAAAAAAACGCTTTATCCTAGAGACAGAGCTGAACAAGAAAAGCAGAATAATGACAGTGTTCTCACTTTCAGATGAATTAGAATTTATATCCTATAACATTAAGTACTCATGTTATACAATATACTTATTGTTCTATGTAGCACACATCTGTATGGTTCTTTGTTTTGCCCCATAGCCTAAAACGGCCACCTTCCATCTTGCCAAGTGGCAGAACAGATGTTCGAATAATCAGCTCTTTCATGACATTAGAAGACTGAACAATCACCATGATATTTCTCAGATGTTGAATGCCTTCCAGTGGAAGGGAAAAAAATATTTTAGGACTACCATGTGAACCTTTCATACAGAGACCTCAACAAAAATGTCACAACTGACTTAATTGCCTTCAAATCTATAAAACATCTCAGAAAGCATTGGGGGGTAGGAGCAGAGAGGCAATGGTAGAATGGGGAGTTGAATTTATTTATTTATTTTTAACAGTTTGTGCCAGGTTTTTGAATTCTATATATTACTGGAGAACACAAGAACTTTCAAAATAAGAAATGCACTTCCGGACACATGACATGTGTGACATGTCATGATTCGCTTTTATTCCAGAAGTTTGGTCCTTAAGGGGTTAAACGTTGTAAATAAGAAAAAGGCCATTTCACACAAAAATAAGCATGGCAACACAAAGTAATTTGGATATTACAAAGATGAGCTTACTATTAATTTATGCATTGACATAAATAAAAGCTAAATAAAATATTTTTCCAAATACCATACTTTTCTTGGAGGTGCGACTGTTGACATGTCCAGCTATTGGGAATGGTTTCGGTATCTTGCTGTGGTAGAAGTGATGAGTACTCAGGTTTTGTTTGCAGGAAGGAAGGAATGGAGATATTTCTTACATATAGCGGAAGTGATATTGAGATGAGGGTCATCTGTTCTGATGGGTTATAATGATAGGACTTAAATGTAAGTTAAGGTGGGAAGCCAAGATTCTCCAAGAGACAGCCATGTGGGAGAGGTGCAGAGAGCAAGGATTTGGGTATCAAATGGAAGGATGTCAGACTCTTGGTGCTTAAATAAAGACAATGGAGAGGCGTTTAAAGAGAACCTGTCACAACTTACCTTACATATAGCTATCCCATTATAGAGCTACGCACTAAACAGAAATGAAGTTGTGGATTTTCCTAACAAGAATTCAATCCTAAAAGGAGAAACTTATTACGGAACCCACAACGAAACCTGTATGGACACTCCAGTTGTGTCCAGGGGCTTAACCCCTATGTAATGTTGCAAATAAAGAAAAGAGGCTCAAATGTTGGATAAACAAGTCCAACCATTAAGCCAAAGCTGGAAAAATAATAATGATATAATTGAAAATGAATAATTTATTAAATAACTATTCCGAATCTCTACTAAAGTAATAGTGTGCTACCCAAACCAAAAATGTGTTAACAGCCAAAAAAGAGCTACGCACTACACTTCTGTAACAACCACCTCCAGTCTTCCTGCACTCCGCCAAGCCTCTTTACCAATTTGCCCTGGTTGGGGACAATTCTCAAAGCAGGACAAACCTCTTCCATGACGTCGACACGCCAGTTTTGTTGCCCGGCTGACTGCTTCTGAAAAAAGTGACCATGGTGGAGTTACCATAGCAAAAGGACCACTTGTGGAAGGCGACTTCAGCTCTCCTCTATCAATGAATTCATTGGCATGGAGTCAATACCAAAGAATTGAGGGACAGGTGGGAGGGAAAAAAAAAAAAAAAAAAAATATATATATATATATATATATATATATATATATATATATATATATATTATTTATTTATTTATTTATATAGGTTTTTCTCTCCCAATCTTTACATTTGCTAGCAAAACTGCTAGCACAATGTATTGATGAATTGTGATGCTCTCTAAAAAGAGCAAAAGTCCTTTTTGGCATGATAGGTGCTCTTTAAAGAAAAGTATTGGTGTACAAGGGCTGTTGAACGGTGGAGAAGGAACTGACATGCAAGCCAAGCACGTGTTGCGGAGATAAAAGGAGGAGAACAGGAGCAGAAGTTGAGAAATGTGAATGAGAGCTGTGAAGGACGGGTTCTTCAGGAAGTGGGAAGGGATGGAGACGAACAAGTGAAGTTTTCAAAAAAAATTTATCTAGGAACCGTTAATATTGCAGATGACAGCACTGCTGGCAAAACAAACAAAATGTCAGTGGCAGAAATTAAAGTAGGAGAAGGTGGTCTATATTCTGCCTGTTTGAAAAATAAAACAATACAAAACCCCTCTTCAAAAGCTCTTTTAATTAGCCCTCAATTAGAATTAATTTCAAGAACACTTTGCACTATTCAGATGATTGGGTCATTGGTTTTAGTCCCCAGACCAAACTATACTGACATGATCGGTTCACTAGAAGCCCAACTATCTCAGAAAGCAATCAATATATCATTAATTACAATGGTAGATGCAACTGTTTAATTACATACATGAAAAGAACACTGGCACTATAACAACTTCACCTGAGTTATTATGGTGTGAGGAGGTCCGTTTGCAAACAGTTTAACCCCAAAGTTGTGAAAATGATGCCAGTCCACTGTGCCCCCTGGTTTCTGAGGCACCTAGTAGACTTTAAAGCTTTATGTTTCTATAACAGTTTCATCTTTAAGTTTTTCAAAATATATCATACATAGAAATACAGAATTCAAATATTCTAATCTCGTTCGTGTATTGCATTAGGACAGGTGTTGAAAAACTGCATTTAGTGTAGTTTACCCTACGATTAAAACTCTATACCCGGAAGCTTTTTTGTGTACAAGTTCATTATAAGGGTATTTCAATATTTACACAGCATGCACCCCCTATGAGGAATAGGAAGACAGGACAATGAAAGGAAATCCTAAGTAACCATCATATTCCATTGTGACTCATTTAGGATATTTCGAAATTAACTAAAATCGTCAAACACATGAGAAATTTTGGAAACCAGAACGAAAAAATAATTTGGAAAATCGCCATGTATCTGTAGCATTTAACTCCTTAAAGGCCAATTGCTTCACTTTACAATCTGGTCCCTATAGATCTTATATCAACAAGACATCTCCATGCATATAATCCTTAAAGATCAGATCGCCATTTGTCTTTGAAGAGGCTACTGCAAACTAAAAACAGTCCTAAGAAAACACTGTTTTTGGTTAGTGGTTGGTCAGTGCTAAGGGCCAAGTTCTCTCTTTTCTATAGGGCACAGGAAGCCAGTGTAACAACTGATAGAGGGGTGACCGGTGATAGGAGGGACAAATAAGCCTGGCAGAAGCATTCATTACAGACCGTAGACCTGTTGTGTTTGAAAGGTGCGGGGAAGGTTTTTAACCCCTTAAGGACCAAACGTCTGGAATAAAAGGGAGTCATGACATGTCCTTAAGGGGTTGAGGTGGAATTGGCAGAATTTTTGGATAGACTTGATATGAAGTGTAAAGTTGAGGACAGTATCAATGAAAACACTAATGATAGGCAGATGCACATACCATCAACATGCCGGGAGAGTAACAAAGGAGGATCATCATTATTATAATGAGGGAAGATAAGAAGCTCCAATTTCGATAGATTGAGTTTTAGAAAGTGGAAGGACATCTAATTGTTGATAGAACAGGCATTTTGATGCCTGCTGCAGCATGCTGTGTGTGCAGACATTAGACGTCCACCATGTACATATTGGACATGAGCAAGCCAGGAACACTCTTGTTTTGGGCTGACTGATGATGCTCCAATGCAAAAACAAAAGGATTCATACATTCTACAGGAATAGTTCTGCTGTATATATCAAGATTCATACATGATACAAATTAAGTTACGGCGCACACAAATACACCAATAATCTTATCAGGCTACTTAATTTGCCTAAGAAAACAAATATGGGGATTCAGTTCCACCATATGGCCATATTTATTCTATTGGATAGAAATGTCACTTTTATTATAATCTTCATTTAGCACATATTGATTGGCATCGGGAGTATATTCATCCAAGCACTAGCACTTTAATTGTTTAGTTTGGACACGGTTTTTAATTGCTTTTATCACCATTATTAGTCACCCAGACCACTTCAGCTCAATGAAGTGGTCTGGGTGCCAGGTCCCCAAGGTTTTAACCCTGCAGCTGTAAACATAGCAGTTTCAGAGAAACTGCTATGTTTACATTGTAGGGTTAATCGAGCCTCTAGTGGCTGTCTCCCTGACAGCCGCTAGAGGAGCTTCCATGACGCTCAATGCGAAAATCGGATTGAGCACGCAAAATGTCCATAGTAATACTTTCCTATGGGCGGTTTGAATGCGCATTCTGCTCCACTCGGGAGCGGACGTCGGAGGGGGAGGAGAGGTCACCAGCGCCAAGGGAGCCCGGCGCTGGATTAAGGTAAGTGCCTGAAGGGGTTTGTTTTCCTGGCACTATAGTGGTCCTTTAATGTTGTATATTCACAATGCACAATAGATTCATTTAATACACTTAAGCTTATTTAGCACTATTTGTCTCCCACATTCGGATTTAGTGTAGGACCCCACCAATATTGGGGTACTGTGAAGTAGTGGTGGGCATAACACAAAA